GGCCCTTGAACTTCCCAAAACCCATGCTATATCCTGGCCTATTGGTCTGTATTCCAAGTGTTATTTAACACTTTTCTATATGTTTAAATAAGAGAGGGAAACCCAAGGGTTCAGAGATGACATATACGTCTCTAATATAAATGTGTATTGAGATTACAGCGTCGCTGTTTGGTTAGACCGATAGACAAATGACGTCATTTAATGGTGGGTTCAAAATTTTGTGAACACTTCAAACAATATTAAGTTAATATCTGGCATATTAGCCAACATCATAGCTCGTTTTTCACATCAAGATGAAGGAATTTGCTAACATCAATTAAAACATTACATCAGTGTGTGGTATTTGGAAACTAGGCGGTGAAAGTTCGAACAAACTTGTTCTTTTATATTGCTTACTCAGACGAAATTATGTGTCATCTCCTAATCTCTGGGGGTTTCCCTCCACTTATTTCTAAATAAAAACAAATTTGTACAAGATCAAGTACCGTTTTCGTACAGTGTTTAATTAGATCAATACGTACAATATCTTCCATATTCTGTAACATTTTGTACATTATGCCTAGGTCACATTTGCCCCGATCCATCGGTCGGCGCCCGACCGATTGAGTGCTTTGTTCAATTTTGAACAAAAAACTCAATCGGCCGGGCGCCTCAGTGAAAATCGGAGCAAATGTGACCAAGGTATTGGACTAATTGGACTGATTTGTACGATATTCGTCATGTATTCATGACAATGAGCAATGTTATCAACTCCTATAATAGTGACCAGCGTTCATCCTACTTGTTAGACATGCCAAGCTTAATTAACTCATTCAATCCTTGGGCAAAAAGCACTAAAATACTGAAGAAATTTTGAAAATTGCCATATATGGTACCTCTGAGATAATATATACAGTATATAGGGCATACATATATAGTGTAATATATCATTTTAAAGCAATTTATGATATACTCCTATACAAGTTGTCATGGTTACAAGATTGGTTTTGTGCTTTGCCATGATATCACGCCCTTCGTAGTCAACGTATTTGATTTATGACTTTATTTTGTAGCCTCTCATACTAGCTAAAACCTTAATAGATGGTACCTAGTGTAATATACCATTGGAAAGATCATCCAAAGTTATGTTAACTCACCAACTTTCAAGTATTTTGGATGACATTTACCTATATTTTTATGATGTCCTTTATGGCTAACGTACCCTCCTTTAAGCAGTTTTTTTTGCGTCAAAATGACAAGGATATGTTATACGTCAAAAAGTTAATCTTTTTCGCATTCCACTTGTTACAAAAAGGTTTTCACCACTTTCCTTGCACCTCTATTTTCTACACATCTAACCCTATCCAGAAATTGGTTAAATTCATTGCCATATACATGTTTAATCAACCTTTGGTTCTTTGACCTTTCTTATATCTGATTCTTAAAATCCTGTCAAATACGCCAAATTGCCATGTTTCTAGGCCTATGGTCTCCTCAATTGATACACTGTGAAAATTTGTGAGATTGATTGACATGTGTCAGATATATGCCAATCAACGTAACTTTGGAAGATCTTTCCAATGGTATATTACACTTGGTACCAAAAATCTTGGTTTTGGCTGTAGAGGGGGGGGGGGGGGACTTATTTGACACCCTGTATATAAAGGGTTTTACAACAGGTATAGCTGATTATTGGAATTTGAGCACGACCAGATGGTGAGCAACTGTTCAATTATAGCGTATGAATTATAATGGCGATGGTACGTGATTTGATAAAGGCGTACAAGATACTACTTACATTTGCACTTTTTGTCTTAACGGGAAGTACGACCTTCAATGGAAAGACCTTCATCAGAGAAAAGAAGACCGTCTTTATATCCGATAACAATTTAGGTCACCTGGGAAATCTCGAAAGAAGTTCGCACTCGGAATGTGTCATTGCCTGTCTAAATACAAAGCGATGCGGACATACAAACGTAAAGCAAATGACCGAAACGACGTTCATATGTGATTTGCTTGAATGGGTTATAGGTGAAAAATCCCATATGGATGATGCAGACCATTATTACGTCAGGGAACGTGAGTTGATACTTAATTACTTCTTATATTAGTGCATTAAATTATAATTTTGCCTATTACCCTCGATTATAGAAAATTACAAAATTATGTGTGCTTGTATTATATCTTCAGTGGAACAAAATGTATATAGAAACAGTACTTTTAATCTATTTTTAATTTCTTCACTGTGTGGAATGGGAACGTCTAATTTTAGTAATGAAGAGGCGACGCATGAGATTGCATCATGTTTCGCATTCATTGCCGGGCTTCGGACAGAGAACCTGGAGCTCAAAATAAGCCTAAGACCTTGCTCTGCATGAATCCAGTGAGAAACTTTGGGGACAACATTTTCTAAAATGTGCTAAACTGCTGACCTATTAACGCCTAACTGTACAGAAAACCAAGAGTTAAAATGTACACAGTTGGGCTCAGTCTACTTGCATATTACGCCAGGTTCACATTCGGTCTGATCCATCGGCCGGCGCCCGGCCGATTGAGTGTTATGTTCAATATTGTATTCAATTTTGAACAAAATACTCAATCACCCGGGCGCCTTAGTGAAAATCGGAGCAAATGTGACAGTGGAACTACTGTGTGTGGTTTTCTTGGCTACATCTTTGGATAATAGGGTAGACTAATGCCTGGGTCACATTTGCTCCGATTCATCGGCCGGCGACCGACCGATTGAGTATTCTGGTCAAAAATGTATACACTTTTGAACAAAATACTCAATCAGCGGGGCGCTGGCACTTGATTAAAACATAGCTGAATTTGAAGTATTAAAATGTATTAATATCAAACATAAAATTAACGCATGGGAATATTTTTCCCACACTTATTTTTAACGTGAGGTGAGTATTAACAATATGTGTTTTCAGCATGTTTCAGAGTTTTTACATGGTTTCAGCATGTGGCATGGACTTAAATGCACCCTGCAGCCACACTGGATCCATCTATTGTTTCTACAATGCGTGTTTTGATTCTAACATGCGGCGTGGACTTTCATGAACTCAACAGCTACAATGGCTCCATCAGTTGTTCCTACAATGCGTGTTTGTGATTCCAGCATGCGGCGTGGTTTAATGCACCCAACAGCTACAATGGCTCCATCAGTTGTTCCTACAATGCGTGTTTTTGATTCTAGCATGCGGCGTGGGCCTATATGCACCCTACAGCTACAATGGCTCCATCAGTTGTTCCTACAATGCGTGTTTTTGATTCTAGCATGCGGCGTGGGCCTTTATGCACCCTACAGCTACAATGGCTCCATCAGTTGTTCCTACAATGCGTGTTTTTGATTCTAGCATGCGGCGTGGGCCTATATGCACCCTACAGCTACAATGGCTCCATCAGTTGTTCCTACAATGCGTGTTTTTGATTCTAGCATGTGGCGTGGGCTTATATGTACCCTACAGCTACAATGGCTCTATCAGTTGTTCCTACAATGCGTGTTTTTGATTCTAGCATGTGGCGTGGGCTTATATGTACCCTACAGCTACAATGGCTCCATCAGTTGTTCTTTCAATGCGTGTTTTTGATTCTAGCATGCGGCGTGGGCTTATATGCACCCAACAGCTACAATGGCTCCATCAGTTGTTCCTACAATGCGTTTTTTTATTCTAGAATGCGGCGTGGACTTATAAGCACCTTACAGCTACAATGGCTCCATCAGTTGTTCGTACAATGCGTGTTTTTGATTCTAGTATGCGGGTGGGCTTATGTGCACCCTACAGCTACAATGGCCCAATCAGTTGTTCCTACAATGCCTGATTTTGATTCTAGTATGCGGGTGGGCTTATGTGCACCCTACGGCTACAATGGCCCAATCAGTTGTTTCTACAATGCGTGATTTTGATTCTAGTATGCGGCGTGGGCTTATATGTACCCTACAGCTACAATGGCTCCACCTATTGTTTCTATAATGCGTTTGTTTGATTCTAGCATGCGGCATGGGTTTATATTCACAGTGGGCTAATATGGACCCTACAGCTACAATGGATCAATCTAGTGTTTCTACAATGTGTGTTTTTTATTCTAGTATGCGACGTGGGCTTATATGGACCCTACAGCTACAATGGATCCGTCTAGTGTTTCTACAATGTGTGTTTTTTATTCTAGTATGCGACGTGGGCTAATATGGACCCTGCAGCTACAATGGATCCATCTAGTGTTTCTACAATGTGTGTTTTTTATTCTAGTATGCGACGTGGGCTAATATGGACCCTACAGCTACAATGGATCCATCTAGTGTTTCTACAATGTGTGTTTTTTATTCTAGTATGCGACGTGGGCTAATATGGACCCTACAGCTACAATGGATCCATCTAGTGTTTCTACAATGTGTGTGTTTTTATTCTAGTATGCGACGTGGGCTAATATGGACCCTACAGCTACAATGGATCCATCTAGTGTTTCTACAATGTGTGTTTTTTATTCTAGTATGCGACGTGGGCTAATATGGACCCTACAGCTACAATGGATCCATCTAGTGTTTCTACAATGTGTGTTTAATATTCTAGTATGCGACGTGGGCTAATATGGACCCTACAGCTACAATGGATCCATCTAGTGTTTCTACAATGTGTGTTTTTTATTCTAGTATGCGACGTGGGCTAATATGGACCCTACAGCTACAATAGATCCATCTAGTGTTTCTACAATGTGTGTTTTTTGTTCTAGTATACGACGTGGGCTAATATGGACCCTACAGCTACAATAGCGCCATACATTGTTCTTAAAATGCATGTGTTTGATTCTAGCATGCAGCGTTGGCTTATATGGACCCCACAGCTACAATGGATCCATCTATTGTTCCTACAATGCGTGTTTTTTATTCTAGTATGCGACGTGGGCTAATATTGACCCCACAGCTACAATGGATCCATCTATTGTTCCTACAATGCGTTTTTTTGGTTTCAGCATGTGAAATTGGCTTATATGCACCCTACAGCTACAATGGTTCCATGTATTGTTTCTACCCTGGTCCTCTGAGCTGGTGGGATGCTGAGCTGAAATGTCAGGAACATGGCGCATACTTGGCTGCCATTGAAACCGAAGAAGAACAACATGCTTTACAAAGCTACTTGCGCAGACATGGCACTGGTATGTTACACATCAAAACTTATTTTACAATTTTTGACACTAAAGGAAAGTTCCATAGATGCTAACTTACTTATCTGTTATCATTTTTACTTGTTTGATGTGGCGCTGAATATTTTAGACAAAGCACAACTTTCTCTCAAGATTCACAAGCCGAGAAAAAACTTTTATACACTACAAACTTCGTTTCAATGCTTGCACCAATTCAAGCATTTCAATCAATTTGCATAATCCACTTTCACTTTCATTTCAATCAATTCAAGAAACTCAGTGTATACATCCATTGAAATTCTGAACAATTGGTAATTTAAGTCTAAAAGCTGCCATTATGAACAGATAATTATTAATTACACACGAATGAACGAGTCGGTATATAATTTCGCCCATGTTAAAAAAAGGTAAAAACTGGCAAACGAAAAAACGATGAACAAAAAACGTCTGATTGCTTATCGATTGCAATCAAATTCAAAATAACCTAATTACGTATTAATTTTCAGTAAACAAGTTTATGTAGTCACACGCACGAAGTTTTGTAAGTGCGTTGCTTTGTTCACTCTACCTAACCCCTAGAAAAGCATAATATACTCTGTTTGTCTTATTGTATTGTTAAGTATATTTTTGAAAGTACCTTATTAACATCTACTTAAAATCCGATAAACCATTCATAAGGAACAGACACATAAAAACAAATAACATAATTATTACTAATAAGCCAAATGGGTTGCTCATAAACACCAAATGAAAGGTAGAGTGTATATGCAATGTGACTCCATATTGTACACTTTTGATAAAATACTGATTGGGCATATCACACCCAAGAGGGGGAAAGCCCCAGGGCATTAGCGAAGAGCGATGACAGACATATTACGTTTCTTGCGTACCACATTTGTTTGCCCAAATTCTCACCAGTTAGTTTTCGAATATAACGCGTCGTTGTGTTGGTTTAATCGATTGAAGCATATTCTTTACATCTTTCTTTATATATCTTGATGTGAAATAACAATTGAAACTATGATATTGGTTAATATGCCAGAAATTACATGTAGCATACTATTATTCGAAGTGTTATTAGAAATTTTTGAATCCGCCATTTTTGTTTATCAATTTTGGACCAATCAGAGGTGTATGTCATCTCAATACAGGGTTACATTATAAGCGTACGTCATCTTTGAACTCCGGGATCAATCCCCCCTTATCACAGCCCATTCTCTTTCACTTCGTAGCACCGGAATTTTACGAAGTAATTCCCAGTATTACCGGCAGGAGATTTGAAAGTACTCATTGATTTTGACGTTTTGACAGATTTGCCTATAAAGGAAGTTAACTAGTAAAAAGCATCACAAAATTGTTAAAAGTAATGATTTGATAAAAGCAGTTGTCTCCGCTTATGCACCATCTTAACGTGCTATTATATTTCCATATGGCTTTTAAAGAGGCTCTATGCCATAGGATAGCACAATCAAGACCCCTCTGAACGCCCTCTTTCAGTGTTAATTTTGCAAATGTGCTGGCCGATCTAATTATTTTCGAAGAAATTAATTCAATCTGAAGTTTGAATATACACGGAAAAGTCTTCCTGTTATCTGATTGGTCGTTGAATTTGTTTATCAACCATGGCTTTCCTTAATTCGGAAAAAGCTGGACATTTGAGTAAACATGATCTAGGCCGCTATCGATTTCAAACTTCCCTCTCACTGGAAAAGTACTATGTTTAAAGTCCCGACCATCTCTACATGGGAGGATCACGCACCTTTGAATGGTGCATAATTAACACTTTGAAATACTTTTTCTGTAGCCAAACTTCCATATTGTGTTTCAGGTGACATGAACATTGGCCTCAGGCGAGATGAGGACACCGGCATCTATCATTGGAGCGGATTATCCGATACAGTGACATACTTCTCTTGGGCAGGAGTCAATCCCGGCGAGCGTGATGGTGAATCCTGTGTGATGTTGAGCAATTACTGGCACAATGACTATAACTGGGCCGATTGGTATTGCTCTGTAAGAAATGGTTTCATTTGTGAGCATAAAGATAATTGAGGAGAAATTACAAAAATATAACTTTTTGAGGATATTTGCGAAGAAATACTAGTAGCTTAGAAAACAACAGCATCGCCGATCTAATTCCTCACTTAAGTTACATCAAAGGTGTGTAATGACCTTCGATAGCAAGTCGCTACTACAGTCTCAGCTGTAGTGGCTAGCCTTTATGGCTCAGTAGAGCGTCTGTCTCGAGAGCGGGAGGTCCTGAGTTCGATTCTCGTACGGGGCATTGAATTTGGCAAATTCTCTTTCGAGTCTAGTATCTGGCTAGGTACACTACAGCTTCCCGACGAGCGTGCCCAATGGTCGTTACATTGGTGTCAGAAGTGGGATTGCCCTTGTGAATCAGTTACGACGGGACGTCGTCTTCTAGGGGGGATGGTGTAATGACCTTCGACATCAAGTCGCTACTACAGTCTCAGCTGTAGTGGCTAGCCTTTATGGCTCAGGAGAGCGACTGACTCGAGAGCGGGAGGTCCTGAGTTCGATTTCCGTACGGGGCATTGAATTTAGCACATTCTCTTTCGAGTCTAGTATCTGGCTCGGTACACTACAGGGTCGTTACAGGTGTTTTGAAAAACAGTTAAGATCTGCACTTTTATCCCATACCGTTTATGTAACTTAATTGAGGAATTAAATCGACGGTGCTGTTATCTTCTGAGCTGTTTGTTCGCAAATATGTACATTTTCTTAAACATATGATACTGATACACGTATGTGATAGAAATGTCGTGGGAATTCTACCTACAACGTGTGAAATAAGGAAAAAAGAAAAATCGTACCTTCGACGTTCCGACATTTTGTTACCGAAACGAACCATCGTAATCGAGCGGATCACCAGTGTACACATCTGTAATTGCAGGAGCTGCTTCCGCATTATGTCTACTTTGAATGTGCCTAAGGACAAGTCTAAATGTTAATAAATAGACAAGTAATGCAATATAAGGTGGGTGTCATTTTTTGGCACCTTGTACCACGCGTGCTGTACCTAATACGAAACAGAATGATGTTAGGAAGATTTTAAAGCAAAAATACACACTCATCGCAAAGTAATTTTTGGGCCAAAGTACTTTGCGATAAAGTGTGACTTTTCTGCATTAAAATCTTTCTAACATAATTGAACTTGACAGTGTTTTTATAGTTTAACCTACACACAAACTAGTATAACGCCCAGGTCAATTTACCTGAATTTACGCAAATTCAAATTCTTTGTGTTGTACCTTACTGTTACCCCCGCGTTATAAGGTTCCGGGTATACAGTAATACTATACTACATTCTTAGCTTTTGCAGGTTTAACTATGAAATTCTGTCAAGTTCACTGTCTAGGATGTTGTTTTAGACATTTACTTATTTTTATTGCTTGCACCTGTTATTGTAGAAGATACCTTTAATCATTTCCATTAAATCAGTTTATTTTCTCTATTATGTACAATATTATACTTTACACAATTACATGTACAATTTTTATAAAAATTCGCAAATCATTGTTAATAGCACTACAACCTGTAAATATGTTACATTAATTTTAATAAAAAAATCTAGAAACTAAACAAGGTGTTTCTGAAATGTTGAAAACATCGACTTGCTCAACGTCCACACCCTTGTGTTTCACCTTACCCTGTAAACAATAGACGTTTCCGATAAATCATGCCATCTTTTCATCCATCGGAGAAACCACAATATATTGGCTAGATTGATGATGTCATAGCTTGTACTTTTATAAAATAAGCAAAAAGTTTGCAGTTTGCTACCTACAACCAATGACATCATCAATCTAGCCAATAAGTTATAGTTTCTCGAGTGGATCAAAAGATGGCACGGTTTGTTGGAAACGTCTACTGCCACGCTTAATTTGGCACATGCCCTGTGGAGACAACACTGAAAGACTTGGTATTGTACAGAATCATGCTTGTTTGTTTGTTTTTGTCTGTTTGTTTGTTTGAACCCTGGGAGCCAATCCTCTTTGTTTGAACTAACCTGCATATTCAACACCTCACAGATGAGGAAATTTCGCAAATCTGAACAATTTCACCGTCACATTCGATGACCAATCGTATAAACTGGAATCGTTTGCCATTAAAATTGATCCAAGAATGTTCGCTGTTGTATTCTGAATAGCATCCTTAAGTTTGGAGACTGTAATAACCTGAGGCCAAGGAATACGTTAAAATTGTTTAAAAAGTCAGCTAGTGTACTAAATTGGCAATGCGTGGTGTACACATGTATATTATAGTATGGATTACTTTCATGTATAAGAATAAAACTATTTTTTTATTATGACTGTTAATATACCTGGGCCTCAGGTAGTAACAGTATTTTAGAATTGTTGATGCTTAACTGACATTTCCACGATTTCAAATCTTGATTTACGCATGAGCGATTGCAATCAAACAGGTGCTCGTGATTGCCCACGTGATCATATCCTGCAAATTGATATCAAATCGTATTGACTGATGTGCATTATGTTGATTGGAAAAAATAGGTGGCATAAAATGGCAAGTTATTAAGTGAGTTACTTTTTTTTCATTGTGATTATTTGCATTGGAGTTCGATCTGATGATGAACAAATCTTCAAAAGCGTGTCATGGCGAAACTTGGTGACTTGATAAAAGCATACAAAATCATATTTGCATTAATACCTTTTGTTTTAACGGAGTGTACGACTTTCAGTGGGAAGACCTTCATGAGAGAAAAGAACACCGTCTTTATCTCCGATAACAATTTAGGTCACCTGGGAACTCTCGAAATAGGTTCGCACTCAGAATGTGTCATTGCCTGTCTAAATACAAAGCGATGCGGACATACAAACGTAAAGCAAATGACCGAAAGGAAGTTCAAATGTGATTTGCTTGAATGGCCGAGAGGCAAAAAAGCCCACATGGATGATACTGACCATTATTACGTCAGGGAACGTGAGTTAATAATTTGAATTATTAAAATATCTTAATGCATATAATCATTACATTGTAAAGTTCCCTTGTTATAGACAAAGGAAATTCACAAACTGGCGTGTGCGTGCATTCTATTTTTATCGTACCTACAAAAAGGTACGATATTGTTGTCAGCTTGACTAGCGAGTGGCCGGGTTTGTGGCGGGCGGGTTGCGTCTCACTTTTTAGCCTTTCTATAGGTTTCCAGCCAAACCGTTTAAGGGATTCATCTGACATTTTAGGGATGTTGGTAAATGTTAAAGATTCTCGCAATCTATATCCAATCAGTGTTTGCGATGTGTATCGGCTCACGTATAAAAGGCGAATCCAACTCAAATCCATGCAGGGGTGTATGAGGTACTCGAATAGGAAAGAGCTCGTGAAATCTGAATTTATATGCACGTGGTCGATGTTTACACATGTTTGGAGTTATTGAAGAAAATGTGATATGGGTGTGGTTCCGAATTTGAAGTCATTGCTGGAAAATATGATTTTAATACGTGAAATAATATCTATAAATACAGCACTAAAAATAACAGTACACATGAAGTAAATGTATGATTGTGTCCAGAAATGTTTGAAACCCTTACGGAAAATTCTGAACATTTGCTAATCTGAAAACTTGCTAATCTGAACACTTTTGGCTTGTTCCAGTGATGTTTGGATTAGACAGGTTTTACTTATATCATATTTATTCTCTTAGAAATATGTTATTATTAATTTGTCTATGTGATTACAAAACTGCATTGTTACACTATGCAAATATTTTTTTTAGGTTTTTGCCTGGGGACAGAATAATTGTGGCCAGGTTGGGTCTGGCTCAACCACAAATCAACCTGCCCCCCGTAAAGTAACAGCCTGTCTGGGAGGGAAGAAGGCTGTCAGAATAGCCTGTGGGCAGACTTCATCCATGTGTGTTTTGGAGAATGGAGATGTAAGAATTTTTTTATGTCACACCAGAATTGGTGACATATTGTTATAGTTTCCAATTTTTTGTGGACAGTGTTTGGTATTTGGTGTTCGGCAGTTGGTGTCTGTTACCTGGCAGGTGGTGACATTTTAAGGAATAAAGACCAAGGTTCTATAACATATGATGTAATATATGACCAGAATAAAATTTGAGGTCATATATTTGACATAAATCATAAAATCGAGGTCTTTGTTAAGATTCTAATATGATAAATAGACTAGAGACACAACTATTTGCATTTAAGTATTTTAGCGGTCATACATACTCCTGTATAGACCAGTAAATCAATTGCACTAGTTATTGTGACGTCACATATCATATTAGAATAAATGTTAATGCCTTGGTTAAAAAATGCTACCGACAAAATATTTCAGTATTGAATAATGCCTGGGTTAAATTTGAAATCTCTTTGATTACTCCAGTGATCTGTTTTAAATGCAACTCCCATCAGAGAATCATGTTTCTGCTGTGAACTGAACAAGTGAATTTTATGTTTACCCTGTATAACATCCCTTGTAGGTATATGGCTGGGGATACAATGGAAATGGTCAGTTAGAATTAGGAAATAATGTCAACCAGCCAAATCCAGTCAAAGTGCAGGGCCTCACTGGTGTATTTATCATATCTGTAAGTATACTTAATAAGCATTAAATTGATGCCTGTAATAATGTGATTATGCCTATTGTGTTACCCATAATTCATTGTTTGTTTTTGCTACCTTGGGTAAATTTCTGACATTTTGAGATTTTAAGATTGTATAGCAGTTGAGCAGTTTTCACTTGTTTAGACGAAGATAGAGAATACAAGCGACTTCACTGTAGCCTGTATCCCTTTTAAACTTGTCATGCGGTAGGGTAGAGTGTCTATATGCCTGGGGTACAAATGCCTGGTTATGGAGAACATGTATTTAAAAATTGTTTATGATTTAAAGGTTGATGAGGGACCCTATATGCCTGGGGCACAAATGCCTAGTTAGAACATGTGTTTAAAGGTTGTGTGTGATTTAAAGGTTGTTTGTGGTTATGCCTATACTATGGCTCTATCAGATGAGGGAACACTATATGCCTGGGGCACAAATGCCTAGTCATGGAGAACATTTGCTTAAAGGTTGTGTGTGATTTAAAGGTTGTTTGTGGTTATGCTCATACTAAGGCTCTATCAGATGAGGGAACACTATATGCTTGGAGCAGGAATATATGCCTGGTTATGGAGAACATGTATTTAAAAGTTGTATGTGATTTAAAGGTTGTATGTGGTTATGCCCATACTATGGCTCTATCAGATGAGGGAACACTATATGCCTGGGGCACAAATGCTTATGGTCAGCTTGGCACTGGAAACAAGGCCAATCAAGTGGCACCTGTTACTATAGCAACTGAAAAAGAAAGGTAACTTCTAAATAATTTTTCAGGACTACAAAAATATTTAAAAGTAACTTCCAAATAATTTTTCAGGACTACAAAATACTTATCCAAGAATTGAAAAACAGTAAATTACAAAAAAGATTAAACTTTACTGTTAAACTTGGTTATAGTGAACACCCATGCAGCCACAAAAAGTGTTCACTGTAGGTATGTTTTCACTACAGAGGGTATTTTATACAGGAGTCAATGTAAAATGAAGTGGTGTTCACTAAACACAGGTGTTCACTAGAGAGAGATGATCTCAAATACAGGTTTTACTGTACATCGTACAAACAGTACCTGCTACTAAATTTAAGTCAGGAAATAAAATCATATTTGTAAAATTTAATCAAATGTGTTGCCCCTTTTTGTGCTCAGTTATTAGATGGTATTTTTCAATAGCCGAATTAATTCAAAATAAAAGTAAACATCACAATACAGTAAAACCTGTCTAAGTGGAACACCTTTTGTACTACTAAAAATGTTCAATTTGGGAGGTGTTCCACTTATAGAGGTCTATATAGTCAGTCTTGGGACTCTGAAAAGTGTTCTACTAACAGAGGTAGTCCAATTCTAGAGGTGTTACTTGTTACAGGTTTCATTTTATTTGTGATTCATTTTTGTCTAAGTGGAACACCTTTGGTAACACTAAAAATGTCCAATGCAGGAGGTGTTCCACTTATTGAGGTTCATTTAACATGAGGTTGGTTGTTCTTGGGACTCTGAAAAGTGTTCTACTAATAGAGGTATTCCGTACAGGTTTCCCTGTTTACATGATGTTATTAATTTTTCCTTCCAGATTTGTTGAAGTAGGTGCTTCACACTATAACCATATATCATGTGGGATTACACAAAAGGGGAAGGTTTATATGTGGGGTCAATGTCGGGGTCAATCCATCTCATTACCCATGGCGACACCTTTTCACAGTCTCCATGACGTCTTTGCAGCTTTTGGATCACCAGCCGTCACTTGGACTCCATTGAAAATAGGTAAAAACAAGTTTGACTAAATTGCTAATGAAATTAAACTTAAATTAATCTCAACGGGTTCATGTGATGTTTATTGTCAAAATGAATATATCTCATATGTGTTTGCACTATTGGACACTTATATATGAAATTTCACCCAGCTCTCATTTTTAATTGCATTTACAAGTGACAGCACAAAGAGCTATAGCAACCTAGTGATAAACCAGCACAAAAGAAAATTGAGACCATATATTATACAATTGTAGCACTATAATACCAAAAACTGTGTAGTAATCAAAAAACATAATGATTTATTTATTATGCTTTTTTTATTATGTGCAACGCATGTTTATAAATCTCTTATGTTTAAAACTTAGACTCTCTTTTAGACATAGTTATTGGTTGGTAATCATAGTGGTATTTGGGAAGAAGTTTTTTGGGATGAATTTTTTTTACATACTTCAAATGTATTTCCATTAATCAATACAATATGTTATATATGTACAAATTGCAATCGTTAACAAGTCAGTATTATGATTATTATCGGCAGTAGTCATATTACTATCAAATCTACCTTATAAACAAGAAACGCTAAATTTCAATTCACTTATTCCTAAAAAATATAGCTATATGCATAAACATAAGATGTGCTTTCACTTATATGAGTAAAATCTTTCTTATTTTGAAACATAATTGTTTTGATTAACTTATGTTCTATGATTTCAGATCACATTGAAGGTTGCAAAACATTGGAAAGTCTGAAGAAAGCATTTGATGACCCAGTAAGTAAATTTTTGATACTTGTAATAGGAAGGGAGAAAATAGCCAGGGTGTTTGTGGGGGCAACCCCCCATAACCAATATAACCATTATATAGGAGAAGAGCTTTGAAATGCTTTTGACTTGAAGCTTCTAGCTCAATTTTGAAGGAAGTTGCATCAATTTATGCAAAATTCAAAACAAATTAAACATTTTTTGAGTTGCTAATGCCATGATCACCCCTCCCCCCGATTGAAAGCTGGCTGCGCCCATGATTAAAATTGCCATAAGAACATCATAATATAAAATAATCCAAATTAAATAATTTTCTTTTGTTATAAGTTTATTTTCTGCCATGAAATTTTAGAAGGAATACATGTCAGTCAACTGGTCAAAATGTAACATTTCCAAAAGAATTCTTTTTACAGCAGATAGTTTTGCAACATGCTGTTACCATAGCAACTGTGTTAATTGGGCACTCATTATATTTATTCAATTTTTATGACAATGCATGTATGAATGAAATAAACTAATAAACTCAATTAAAAGAAATAAACTAATTAACTAGTTAAAAGCATTACTGGCCATTTTAAAGACAATAAATTCCCATATGTATATATCATGATTAAAATAAAATATGCAAGAACAAACTGTTATGACGTCATAATTAATATGCAAATCACCCAATTTGCATATTTTATAAATTGTTTGATCGCTCTATCTATTTATTATGTGTCATTTGGTGCAAATTTCATCTAAATCTGAGCAATATTGACGAAGATAAACACTGAAAAGAGCCCCTAAAAGTGGGTGTGGCATATTTACTTTGTTACCATAGCAACGCTGTTACGGATTCAGAATTGACTTAATATCTCCTGATTGCATTATCTTGTACCTTCCATTTGGTGCAAATTCCATCAAAATCGGAGCAATAATGACGGAAATAGAGGCCAAACACTGAAATGAGCACTTAAAACTGGGCGTGGCATATATTTCCTGGTTACCATAGCAATGCCGTCGTGGATTCAGAATTGCCAACATCATTTTTCTTGATCAGTATCACTTCTAGTTCATGAAAACATATGTCACTTAACTTACATCTAAAGAGGACACAGAACCTCTTATTAGGACTTTTGCTCCCAGACTATATAACATAATGATTTAACTCAAGATGTCAGGAATATTATGGATTTTGTGAAAATGACAATTTTTTCAAGAAATTGTCATGCTTTTTGAAGATTTGAGAAGATCAAGATCATGTTCAGAAAAAAATTTTCTATGAAAAAGAAATGCTGTCTGTAAAAATTTTGAAATGAATGAGTACTTATAAACTTTGGGCCAGAAGCATGTCGTCCAGTTCTGTTTGTACAAAACAAATTTTAACTGAGAGCAGGCATGCCATTTTGACATCCATCCAATTTCTAGATAGCTGTTATGAATTTGTACATTTGGTGTATCTAGGTGTAGAAGCATTGCAGTTGAAGTATAATGGTGGTCTTTTTGATATGTCAATTTTGAAAAATCGCTATGTCAATTAAGTTTATATCCACATCTAGATTACCTACTTAGTTCAATAAAACCAAAATGTCATGTGGAATATGATTCTATTGAAATAAAGATTTTGTCTTACATTGAAAGCTCAAGAAAATTGCTCAGTAACATATTTTTTACATTATGTGTCATATTTATGAACAATAACTTTATATTGGGAACCGTATTAATAAAGTCATTCTATGATAACATTTGTTTTGGTTCACCCAGTGCTCAAATGAATTTACTTTTACTTCCTAGCAAGTTTTATAAATTGTAATATGTGTTTGAATTAGAGCAGAAATAAGTTGATGATGTTCACTGCAGAGGGTATATGAATAATATTTTGTACATTATAGGCCAAATTCCTTTATTCAAATACATCTTTTTTTATAATGAATTGTTGTTTTTATATGATTTATGTGGCATGCAGTGTATGAAGTGCCATTCACACTTGGGATCAACTGGAAAAATTCATTACAGCATGGCTAAACTTTCAGGGGAAGAATTTGATAAGGATTTTTTGATTTTATCACCTTTTTCATTCGAATTTTAACCTGTGGAGGGTCACATTTCCACATTGTAGATGTCTTGGAGGGATGAATTTTTTTGTGATTCTGCCTGACCAATATATGTATATATATTGACTCTTGTTAGGGGGAAGGGGGAGGGGGTGTTAGACACCATTTCTTAACATGTTAGATCATGGTTTTGGGATATATAGGGTCTATTTTTCTTATGACATGTTTAAACTTACAGTTTGCTTTTCTTGCTTGGTTTCTTTAAGGTTTTAGTCTCATCTTTGTGGCACTTGTGCTTAGATATTTACTTAGTACATTCAGATAACATTGAAATATGTTGTCTTTGCCAGAAAAGATTTCTGCATCCAAAGGGAAGCTAGCAAGTACCAATTTGAGCCATGTATTGTATTCTTCTGATCATGTAAAATTGTGCTTCAAGTTACATGCAAATTTAAAGTTCTTCAGTCAAGAACTGCTTTTATAAAAGTTTTTAAGTGAAGTATTGTGAAACCCTGGTTAAAATGCTTTTCATATAGAAACCTTAAACTGTTGATATAAAGTAGTAGAGGGCATGTTATCTGTATGATAGTACTTGATTGGAATGAATTAATCTTAGAACAAAGCAATTTTCTATGGATGCTCATGTAAAGCAAATTAAGAAGTGGTTTTTGTTGACTATTGACCAAATATCTGAGTTAGTATGGATAATGCAATTTTAATGATTATTGAGATGAATGGATGGTACATCTATGCTATGAGCTAGCTATTACATCCTAAATTCTAGTAGTTTTATAGTATGCCCAGAATCTGATTTTATCTGATCCGAGTCCTTACCGATCCTATACTTATGAGAGACACTGAATCATTATCAAATTCAAATGGAAGAATACACTATTACTAACGAAAATATCTGTTATTCTCCCTTTTAAAACTACAGTATACTAATAATTGATAATATCTCCACTATGGACTGGCTGGCAAATCATCAATTCTGGTAGTATTTAAGTTTGCTTAAAATCTAATTGACAAGCGTCCTTATTAATCTGACACACGCAAGAGCCTCTGAATCATCCTAAGGTAAAATTCTGTTTAAGACTAGTTCAATGATTCAACAAAACAATTTGGATAAGATTGGGTCATTTAATATTGAAGTTTGTGTTAACATGGTATTAAGGTGGCCTCCCAATTATAAAGTTTGAACTTTGATAAATTCCTCGATGTTTTATTTTCTGACCCTAAGTGACATCAGTTTCTCAGTTGAGAATAAACAGATCCATGTCCATAAATCCATTTTGAAGATAAGATGTGAGCACTTTAGGTCAATGTTCCAGTCCCATTGGGGAGAGGATTGTAAAGAGTGAGTATATAGAATAATATAATGAAATATGAAGATAAGATGTGAGCACTTTAGGTCAATGTTCCAGTCCAATTGGGGAGAGGATTGTAAAGAGTGAGTATATAGAATAATATTATGAATTATGAAGATAAGATGTGAGCACTTTAGGTCAATGTTCCAGTCCCATTGGGGAGAGGATTGTAAAGAGTGAGTATATAGAATAATATACTGAAATATGAAGATAAGATGTGAGCACTTTAGGTCAATGTTCCAGTCCCATTGGGGAGAGGATTGTAAAGAGTGAGTATATAGAATAATATTATGAAATATGAAGATAAGATGTGAGCACTTTAGGTCAATGTTCCAGTCCCATTTGGGAGAGGATTGTAAAGAGTGAGTATATAGAATAATATTATGGAATATGAAGATAAGATGTGAGCACTTTAGGTCAATGTTCCAGTCCCATTTGGGAGAGGATTGTAAAGAGTGAGTATATTTAGAGGTTATGTCACTATGACGTGAAATATGCCTGAGTTCTCCCAATATAGGCCGACCTTGGGAGGCTCTATATTTGGGCAAGAACGAAGGCATATTTCACGTCATAGTGACATAACTGATGTATTACATGCATTTGTTCTCATGGTTACTTTGTATCAATGACATGACGTCATGATATTATCATGGTTATTAAAGAAATCTAATATCAAAACGAGGTAAGCGGGCTATATCGGGGTAATCGGGCAATATCGGTGGATATAGCTCGCTAACTTTCCCATTGACTTCCATACAAATGCTTCGCTAGGTATGTAATACAGAATAATATTATGAAATATGAAGATAAAATGTGAGCACTTTAGGTCAATGTTCCAGTCCCATTGGGGAGAGGATTGTAAAGAGTGAGTATATAGAATAATATTATGAAATATGAAGATAAGATGTGAGCACTTTAGGTCAATGTTCCAGTCCCATTTGGGAGAGGATTGTAAAGAGTGAGTATATAGAATAATATTATGGAATATGAAGATAAGATGTGAGCACTTTAGGTAAATGTTCCAGTCCCATTGGGGAGAGGATTGTAAAGAGTGAGTATATAGAATAATATTATGAAATATGAAGATAAGATGTGAGCACTTTAGGTCAATGTTCCAGTCCCATTTGGGAGAGGATTGTAAAGAGTGAGTATATAGAATAATATTATGAATTATGAAGATAAGATGTGAGCACTTTAGGTCAATATTCCAATTCCATTGGGGGAGAGGATTGTAAAGAGTGAGTATATAGAATAATATTATGAAATATGAAGATAAGATGTGAGCACTTTAGGTCAATGTTCCAGTCCCATTTGGGAGAGGATTGTAAAGAGTGAGTATATAGAATAATATAATGAAATATGAAGATAAGATGTGAGCACTTTAGGTCAATGTTCCAGTCCCATTTGGGAGAGGATTGTAAAGAGTGAGTATATAGAATAATATTATGAATTATGAAGATAAGATGTGAGCACTTTAGGTCAATATTCCAATTCCATTGGGGGAGAGGATTGTAAAGAGTGAGTATATAGAATAATAATATGAAGATGTGAGCACTTTAGGTCAAAGTTCCAATCCCATTGGGGAGAGGATTGTAAAGAGTGAGTATATAGAATAATATTATGGAATATGAAGATAAGATGTGAGCACTTTAGGTAAATGTTCCAGTCCCATTGGGGAGAGGATTGTAAAGAGTGAGTATATAGAATAATAATATGAAGATGTGAGCACTTTAGGTCAAAGTTCCAATCCCATTGGGGAGAGGATTGTAAAGAGTGAGTATATAGAATAATATTATGGAATATGAAGATAAGATGTGAGCACTTTAGGTAAATGTTCCAGTCCCATTGGGGATAAGATTGTAAAGAGTGAGTATATAGAATAATATAATGAAATATGAAGATAAGATGTGAGCACTTTAGGGCACTTTAATAATATGACAAATGAGACTTGGTGTAAATAAGAATAATATTGATTGTTTTTGATATGATGCATTAATGAGACTTGGTATACAAAAAAATGATAATGATTGTTTTGATATGATATGCTACATAAATTAGATTTGGTATATATTAAAATAATATTGATTGTTTTGATATGATATGATACATTAATGAGACTTGACATACAAAACTGATAAACATTGGTAGATCTGGTATGTATTAAAAAAAATTGATTGTTTGATATGATATGATACATTTATAAAAATGATGACTGCTTTGATACAATATAATACATTAACGATAGATTTGGTATATATTGAAATAATATTGATTGTTTTGATATGATACGATGCATTAATGAGACTTGGTATATACTGAAATAATATTGATTGTTTTGATGTTGTATATATATACAAACGTTGCGTTCACTGCTTACTTTATCTTTGACTTCTCATTCATGCTACCAGTCTTCTCACACTTATTTTATGTATTTTATGTTACGGCCCTACATGGTTGCTCTTTGAAATACTAAGAATTGAATTTATATCTCTTTCATTATAACCTAAGTAGTATGGATAATGGTAACACAATTCTAATTTTATGTTTCGCATTTTATGGTTTTTTCGTGCAGAGAGATCAACACACAAGTGTAACTGCACTCCTAGTAGCCAAATATGCAGTTTTGCATATTTTTGCATACCATAATTTCTTCAAACCATTTATGTAATAATATAGGGGATCTGTCACTGCATGTACTTATTTACTCACTAGATGGGGGATAATTTAATTATCCCAGTGCCATGCCCATGGTCGGAAATGCCTTTTTACAAAGTGAATGACCAAAATGATTTCATAGAGTCTGCTCCAAATGGCAATTTACTTGCACATTTTGAGAATAAACTTTTCAACCCACTTGAAATACGAGAGGAAATGAATGATGCTCCTGGATTTGACTTTACAACCAATGAAATTATGACAAAAAGTCAATATGTTACTTTAACTGAGTTAAATAATAATCTGAATGCAACAAACAATGTAGATATGTCTATAGTACACTGTAATATTAGAAGTTTGCCATCAAATCAATGGAAGTTAGTTAATCTATTGTCATCACTTGAGAAGGGAGTCTCAATTGTTGGCCTCTCTGAGACATGGCTTTATGAAGATCAAAATTCACAATATTCTAAATTAATGAATTTCAATGGATATTTTAAATCAAGATCAACTAGAGGGGGTGGTGTTGGTTTTTATATTAAGGATACAATTAATGTTAAAGAAAGACCAGATCTTCACTTTAATAATTTTGGCAGTGATGTACTTACAATTGAGATTATTGTAAACAATGGTAAAAATATACTCTTAACTTGCATTTATAAGCCTCCTAATATAGATATAGATGAATTCAATAATGGTCTAGAAGTTTATTTAAATAATCTTTCAAGAGAAAACAAAACTAGCTATGTAATGGGGGATTTTAATATTGATTTATTCAAGACCAACCAGCATGAGTCAACTGAAAATTTTTATAATATCATGACATCTTATAATTTAATACCACTTATTTATAAAGCAACCAGGGTAACTTCAAGCACAGCAACATTAATCGACAACATTTTCACAAATGATACTAAAACTGGTCTATGTGGAATAATTTTCAATGATATTTCTGATCATTTCCCTATTTTTGCTACTTTTAATAAACCAATTCAGCAGATAAAAATTGTTCAAAAATCAATAAGAAAATACTCTGAAAATAATCTTACTACCTTTCAAGAAAAATTAGCCAAAGAATCATGGGCAGATACAATGAATAGTGATGATACAAATACTTCCTACAATTTTTTTGAAGAACGCCTGAAAGAAATTTATGATGAAAGTTTTCCAATCAAATTGGTATCTTTTAAGTCCTATAATAATAATGAAAAACCCTGGATTACTTCAGCTATTCTTGTATCGGTGAGACAAAAAAGTAAGTTATATAAAAAATATCTTCGTACACCAACAAATCAAAATAAGGTAAATTATAAAGTTTATTCTAAAATGTTAAAAACAATCATAAGATCAGCCCATAAGCATTACTTTAACAGAAAATTTGAGGAAAATCAAGGAAACATCAAAGCAAATTGGGAAATTATCAATGAAATTCTTCAAAGAAAAAATAAAAATCACAATATCCCAGACACATTTTTCCATAATAATACCGAAATAACAAATAAATTAGACATTGCTAATCAGTTCAATTCTTTCTTTTCAAGGGTAGGTGAGAGCCTGGCAGCAAAGATTCCTCCCTCAAACAAAAGTCCTTTAGACTACATGAATAATATTGGTAGACAAGCTTCAACTTTATTTTTGAATCCGATTGACTCTAATGAATTAAACATGGAATTATCAAAATTGAAAAATTCTGCGGCCGGTTTTGACGATTTCAAACCTTCCATAATTAAGCATTGTGGTATTGAATTCCAATTACCTTTATTACATATTTTCAATTTATCTCTAACAAATGGTGTTTTCCTGACAAATTAAAAATTGCGAAGATAATACCAATTCATAAAAAGGAGGACAAACAGCTTTTCAATAATTATAGACCTATATCGATTTTACCAGTCTTTTCAAAATTACTTGAGAAACTTATGCACCATCGACTGACCTCTTTTCTTGATAAAATAGAAATAATGTATCTTTATCAATTTGGCTTTCGGGAAAAAAAATCAACATTCATGGCAGTTCTTACATTTGTTGAAAAAATCAGACATTCTATAGACAAAGGTGAATTCTCTATTGGGGTATTTCTTGACTTTTCTAAAGCTTTTGATACTATTGACCATAATATTCTCTTTCAAAAACTGGATTTCTATGGGATACGAGGTGTAGCGCTGGAATGGGTAAAAAGTTACTTTTCTAATAGAATTCAAAAAACTTGTTATATAGATACTATTTCAGATCCCGAGACAATTACATGTGGAATTCCTCAGGGCTCTGTGCTAGGCCCCTTGTTTTTTATCATATACATCAATGACATATACTTATCTTCTCCTCGATTATTTTTTGTTCTGTTTGCAGATGATACAAATCTGTTAATACAAGGAAAAAATCTTAATGAAATTACTAATGCTTTGAATGCTGAATTGAAACTAATTGAGGAATGGATAGCCACAAATAAACTTTCGTTAAATGCAAAGAAAACTAAATATATCATATTTTCTTCTAGACAAAAGCAATATAATAAAAATGAAATATCAGTCATTGTGAATAATAAAGTACTTGAACAAGTGACACACATAAACGTTTTAGGAATTATAATTGATCAGAATCTTACCTGGAAGAATCACATAACAGCAGTAAACATGAAAATATCAAGAACCATTGGTATATTATACAAAGTTAAACATCTATTGAATGCCAAAAGCTTACTTAGTATATATTACTCTCTAATCTACTCATATCTTATTTATGGAAATATAATCTGGGGCGAAGCAGGCTGTACATTGCTTAATACTCTTCATCGCTCGCAGAAACAATTTGTAAGGATTGCAACAAACAGCGACTACAGAGCTCACTCTTTACCTCTTTTTCATGATCTAAAAATCCTGAACATATTTGAGATAAATAAGCAACAAAGATATATATTCATGTTTAAATGGATCAATGACAAGGATAATTACCAACAAATATTTCCAAATTTCTTCCAAACAGTTGAAAATAGACATAATTATGATACAAGAAACAAGAAAACTTTCGACAAACCAAAAATCCGTACAAACTATGGAAAATCAATGCTATCTTATTCTATACCTGATCTTTGGAACCAATTACCCCCACATTTTAAATCTATCAGAAGCATCATACTCATGAAAAAACAGACAAAAAAATATTTATTACAACTTTAATTCTATTAAAGGGCACTCTGATGGCACAAATTACATATATATATTTGTATTATTGAGGACATGCAATGGCAGATCCCCGCCACTCCAACATACTTTGTAATTTTACTCCATCTTGGGAATATACACAAACCCTTGTGTCACCCACTCATTGTATATGTATATTGTATGTGTTTTGTGAAATAAACAAATTGAAATTGAAATTGATGTTCCAGTCCCATTGGGGAGAGGATTGTAAAGAGTGAGTATATAAAATATAATATTATGAAAATGAACATAAGATGTGATTTATATTTACAGCACCATTGAGATCACCCAGTTTTCCTATGTAGTATACAGGGCATTCTTGCAGTACTTATACACTGACAAAGTAAACCTCTCTCCTGAAGATGCCATAGGTGAGTCCAAATATTATGTCTTATTAAAATCGTTGCAAAGATTAGGGAAACAAAACCATACTAATTTCCCCTCATAAAATGTGAAAGTTATTGAAGGTTTCAGATCCCCAAAAAGTATTACAGTCAACAAAGAGAACGTCCACTTTTCAAAGATAATTGTAACTTAAATATGAAATGATTTTCTTGAACAACATATTTATGACTTCAGAAAATAGGTATGACATGAATGTGTGGAAAAAATATCATGAAACTGAGTATGTAAGTAATTGGTCTCACCTCAGTTGTACTCTGTTGGAACTGTATTTTTTTAATTACAAAATAGATATGTAAAAGGTAAATGAAGTATTGTTATTCAATGAATCATAAAAAAATGCAACATATTTCTCAAATCTTTTTGTGATGTCCAGTCAATGTGATATAGCAATGCTTAAAGTAATATTCCTTGCCATACCATTTCTCTCATGAGCTACGGTATAGTTATGCTGTGGTAGCTATAACCATATAGGCACTTTCCATATTAAACAAAACATTGGAAAATGATTTGGTATGGTCCGTGATGATCATTTAAAAATGGACTGTTAATTTCAAGTTGCCTGTCATGATCATGTGATTTCAGACAGGAAGTGATGTCAACAACAGGCCCTGAAAATATTTTTGCTCAGAAATTAAGAACAATTTGAAAAGAAGTTATACTGTTATAAAAGGTCAGAGTCTATGACATCACTTCCTGTATGAAATCTTAAAAGATGGCAGCCTATTGGAAATAAGAGCTACAATTGATGATGATCAATATTGACCATATCAAAACATTTTCCCATATTTTGAATGATATGGAAAGTAAATACAAGGATAAAGCTATCATACCTGGAGAGATATTATTTTGCAAGGAATATTCCTTGAACTTTTCTAATATTCTTCTCATATTTCACATGTTCCAGGTCTCCTAGATCTGGCCAACTCATACTGTGAGGTTGAACTTAAACACCAATGTGAGAAGATCATAAAACAAGGCATCAGTGTAGAAAATGCTGCAATGTTGTATGCTGCTGCAGTGAAATATGAGGCAGAGGTATGTGTATAGTCTAGCATGTGTTTGTGAAATGGGAAAGGTCAAAATTTCAATTCAAATGTTTTGATATTCTGATGAATATTATGTATGTAACATTTTAGAATGACCCATCAAAAATGTAAATACACGAAAAAAATTAAATCTAAAGTTGATTTTTTTTAAATCAAAATTTATTTCATTTGAAGAATGCAATTAAGCAATACATGTATTTATTAGAATATATTAAAGTTGAGTAAGCACAGCTGATTTGAAATTAGATCATCAAATATTCATCTCTATTTTTAGAGTCTTCAAGAATTCTGCTTCAAGTTCTCACTTAACCACATGACTGCAATAACACAGACTGAGGCTTTCTGCAAACTGGATGAAATAACAGTGAAAGACTTTATCACAAAGGCTGCGCAGGCAGGAGCCTTTAAATATTAGAAGTTGAGTGTACTTAAGTAACGACAGTTCCAGACTGAGACCATATAGAGTCTTTAAATATTGACAGTTTAGTTCCCGGGATGGAGCCTTTAAATACTATACTAGCAGTTATATGTACTGTGATAATGGCAGTTTCGAACTGAGACTGCATGGAGCCTTTAAGTATTGACAGTTTAGTTCCTAAGCTGAAGCCTTTATATATTAGCATTTGGACGTACTTTAGTAATGGTAGTTCAGAATAGAGGCTGGAGCCTTTAATATTGCCAGTTGATTTTTCCAGTCCAGACCTTTTAAACATTAGCTGCTCTTACTGTAATAGTGGCATTTGGGAAAAAGGCTAGAGCCTTTAAGTACCAATAGTTGAGTTCACAGGCAGGAGCCTTTAAATATCGACCTTCGAGTTCAGTGCTTTGTATGATCATATAACAATGCACAATGTATGTGTTGTTTCCAGACCTTTGCATGAATGCGGCAGCCATCTAGGAAAACATAACATGAGTGGATTAATTCAACAACAATTCACTTAAGTCATGTGCTTGATTTATTTTCACAAATGTTTAAGATTTAACTTTTCTTCAAGGCTTAACTGGATTTCCATTTCATATCCATTCGACATTCATTCAACACTAGCCATTTGACCTGCATAAGCACCTGGCACTTGTTTTTCCCCATGATACTATTTATAGATTTTCACTGAACTATCACATTGATGTACTTAGTTTCACAAGGATCTAAAAAAGCTTTGGGTGTATACGAATTGATGCGTGGTTGATTATTTCATGCATTGCAATAATATGAATTACTGTTGTCTGATTGGCTTAAATTGGACACACCTTGCCTAGATATGTGTCAATAAATATGAGCAACAACAAAAATGTTATTCATTTTGTGGATGCCATTTTCTGATTGAACTGATTGCTGAATCCGTTTGATTGCACATGAATTTCTCCACAGACTAAATTCGCTTAGTTGAACAGGAATTCTGTAATTTGAAAGAGTTAATATATTTTGTCAGTTAAATGTTTTTGCTCTATTTTAAGTAAATTACTTTAAAATCCACCACAAATTTCCAATGCTCAAACTGATCTAGCTTTGGATGATGTTGTACAGTTTCCAAGAACGCATTCTCAACTTTTCAGTTACATTCTCAACTAACTCCCAATGTCATATTTGTTATAGGCCATTCAAATTTTAGGCTTAAAGTTGAATATACAGGGGATTTTATTCAATTTGTTTTGGTGAGATCTTAGGCCTAAGGTTTAACATTTTGAATTAAGACTTATTATACATTTTTACGGAGGCATAACCAAAGGTGTTTTTTCGGATTTTGCAATGAGAAGACCTGAGGCCTAATTAATTGGTTAGAAAAGTAGATGGCATCAGTGCTTGACAGTTAATCAAATCCGCTGAGATAGTAGAGATTTCGCTCATAAGTGAAAGCACGACTTATTTATATTTATGCACATAGCTATAAGATGGAAATTTAGATCATCGAGGATCATAATTCGACACGTTCACTTACAAGTTAAAAAACGTGTATCTATCCCTATTTTTTGTTGCAGTCCACGTCTGCTGTACTCACGATGCCTCATATTCAATAGCAAGAATTGCAATTGCACTCTATAATATACATACAATACCAAATACCATTATAATATGGATTAAGATAATCTGCCCTATTTATAATAAAATGTACAGTATGCTTAATCTAAAACCATTTTATGTGTACAGGATTATAGCGATCCATAAGCGCCTTACCTACAACACGCAAAATATGGCGAGGCGAAAAGTTCTGTTAGCATTTGCATCAGTAATGATTATATTATTGGTTGTATACGGGTTCATCATTAAATTTAAACATATAGCAGAGATTGATATCATGTCTAAGTTGCCTATATATCAGAAGGATAGGGATACGTTCAACCAAATAAAGAACGATGATGTGGTCAATCGGGAACCAACAATAATCCCTTCAAAGGAAATAGCTACGCCGTTATTAACATCAGGCAGTGCACGGAAAAGTCGGAAAAATCCTAAACAGTTGTTATTCAGTTATATTCCGAAAGCTGGAAGTTCAGAAATACAAACTATATTAAGTATAGTAGTTGGAGGAGAAATCGAGATCTTTGGAGGGAGCGAATATATTAGCCGATACCAAGCTAACAAAACTACATTTTTTAAGAATAATTTCTTTCTTCAAAATGAAAGACAGCAACTGAAACCGGATATGAAATCTTCCTTTTTCGTCGTAGGGCATGTGCAAGCCCCGTGTAATTATCTACTTTCGTCTTGGACATATGGCTCAGATGGGAATGGCAATGTGTACAAGATGGCGAAGGATAAGAGTGTGTATGGGGTGACACCTCCTTATAATAACAAAGAAGACCTAGACAGACTCACCATGTGGTTACAAGACAATAAAAACATGTATACCAATAGGCTTACTTACAAATATTTCAAAACGGCCAAGTGGAAAACAGACATGAATTTGCGAAGCGCAGATTGCTGGATTCACACCGAAATGTTGATCTATGACTTGGTGAATTGCTTGAAACGATATGAAAAACAAGGGGGAAATGTAAAATGGGAAAACTTTCGGAAGATAAAGACGAAGATAGAGAATCCTAGTAATCATTCACAGTGTGGGGACTACTTTGACGATGAGAGAACGGCGTTGGTTATGGATTCCAATATGAAGATGGCAAAGATTTTTCGATATGAGAGCTGTTGTGTTGAAAGTAATACAACATTACCTGCAGGTTTTGAAGAGCTTTGGACCAATCATAATTAAGATATAGAAGTCCAAAAAATTATATTGTGGAACAGAAGTTTCGAACGTTTTATAAGACTCGTGGTATCTTAATTTACAGGGTGGTAACAAAATGAAAACCCTAATACCATTTTCCTCATATCATTGTCATTTTAAAAGATAACTCCCTGATATTTTACACTTTTGTACATCATTTAATTTGCTACCAGCCTATTTTATTTCATGACCATCAGATTGATAGTCACAATGTTGCAGTAATTTAAAGAACATGCCCAGTGGCAACTATTGCGTTGTGGGGAAACCTGTACTCACCGTCTAAAATGTCTCTACCTGTTCGAATACGGCAAATATAGAGTGTGTGACAATGACATCAGGACAATTGCAAACCTCAAAAGTGAGATCATTCGTGTCATTCAGGCGATACCTGCTGAGGACTGCATTCGGGTAATTGATAACTGGGCTGTTTTGCCTACAGCGCGATGACGGCCAAATCTGAAGCATGTTATTTAAAGTGCTGTAAAATTGTGACTATCAGTCTGATGGTCATGAAATATGGTAGGGTGGTAGGAAATAGAATGATGTACAAATGTGTGAATTTTTTTACTGTGACAAATATATAAGGAAAATGCAGGGTTTCCATTTTTTGACCACCCTGTTTATATTAGGCTAAGTTCAGAAGAACATCATATTGTTATGTACAGCAGAGGTTTTGAACCCATCGAACCCCCTACACAATGTAAATGTGACATGTACATTATGATTATATACTGTTAGTCGCCTATAGCAGACACCTCTCAATTTATATCGCATATATTTCCGTACAGATAAACAGTAAAAATGCCATGACATTTCAGAAATTACATGTTTCATAAATAACTTACAATTACTGATCAAATCCAACCGAATTTGAATTCTTATTTTAATGTTCATCGGTTTTAAGAAATGTATTACAATTCATTGTATCAGTACGTTACTGTTGAATTTAAAAAGAAATCAAGTGCAAATATTTTGATGAATAAATTATACAATTGCAAACATCTTGAAACATTTACTCCAAAATATTGTTAGCTTCCCATTGTATTTGTATTGTAATGTGTTTTATTGTATTGTATCGTATTGTATTGTATTGTACATTGGACATAACCCCTAAGCTATGTCACTCTCATATCCCATCCATTTTTAGGTCAGTGAAGCATGTCAAAATCTCAAATAATCCAGGCATCTCCAGAGATCGTTTTTCGAAGGCTTTGATGTTTTTGCTTTCATCTTTACTTGAAAAACCGTTTTTACGGTAACCATGGTAACTATAAGGCGTTGGTAACCTTGACAACCTGATATTTGAAGGATATCCACCTATTGGTAGTTGGATCTTTTTGGCAAAAATAATATCTTCTACACAAATTTTGTGCATAAACGTGCATCTAGTTGAGCTAGTCATCTGAAAATCTCATGGAGTTGCTCCGTGAAGCCTAGTTTTGATGTGCTAAATAACAAGTCAGATATCATGTAGAGAAACAAGTTATGCAGTATTATGTGTCTGTTAAAGCTAAGGAGGGGAGAATATATTTATTGGACACCCTGTACATGTAAATGGATATCCCTGCCATGTTAGGTATGGCAAGTGATTTTAGACGATCATATATTTCACCATGAGTACTTCTGGCCATAAATACAATGGATTTTATTAAAACAATATATTTTCTTTCAAGTGAAGTCCCCACGAAAATAAAAATATCAACCCAACTCTCTGAAGAAGAAGTATGCACTAGGACCCTACCTTGACACTTTTTAAGACGTTAGGCTTATTTTCTAAAAAGGATCTTGTTTTTCTCAATTTAAACATATCCAAAATTTCTTCTTCACTTTATTAACAATTCCTGAAAGGGGGTGGGGTTTGAATTGAGTTAAAGTTAAAAGCCACATACCCCATGATATTTTCCCATAGGGAAAACACATGCCATTCATTGTTTTCAGCATAATTTTTGTCATCGAAAATTGATTTTTAAACCATTCAACTTGACTTTTAAACCATTCTACTTCTGAAGAGGTTTCAGACCCCTTGTTGAATAATTTTTTCATGCAATAAAAATTAGAAAAATATCCTCTTTTGAGTAAATAGGTTCAATATTTTGGAAAAATTGTTGACATACTGAAATTGCTGAAAACATATTCTTTGGTTTGTTTAATTTCAAAAGTATGGAATCATTGAGATGACACTAACGATCTATTG